ACCAAGTCTGTGCTACCAGTGTCAGGTCTGGTCAGTGAAAGTATTATATAACACGATGTTGTAACCAACTCTGTGCTACCAGTGTCAGGTCTGGTCAGTGAAAGTATTATATAACACGATGTTGTAACCAACTCTGTGCTACCAGTGTCAGGTCTGGTCAGTGAAAGTATTATATAACATGATCTAGTGACCAACTCTGTGCTATCACTGCCAGGTCTGGTCAACTCTGTGCTACCACTGCCAAGCCTGATCAACTCTCTGCTACTAATGCCAAGCCTGGTCAACTCTGTGCTACCACTGCCAGATCTGGTCAACTCTGTGATACCACTGCCAAGTCTGGTCAACTCTGTGTTACCACTGCCAGGCGCGGTCAATTCTGTGCTACCACTGCCAGGCCTGGTCAATTCTGTGCTACCACTGCCAGGCCTGGTCAACTCTGTGCTACCACTGCCTGGCCTGGTCAACTCTGTGCTACCACTGCCAGGCCTGGTCAACTCTGTGCTACCACTGCCAGGCCTGGTCAACTCTGTGCTACCACTGCCAGGCCTGGTCAACTCTGTGCTACCAGTGCCAGGTCTTGTCAGTGAGAGTATTAAAGGAAGAGAAAAACTGCAGCTGAAATAAGATTAGCGAGAAGAGTATTTCCAGAAGAGATCAGATGAGACATTGTGAAATTCGAAAGGAAAAGAGGTGATATCAGTGTCATCTGCATCACCAAGTGATCTAGTAGTTTCTCCTGCAGTACACCGATTATGTTTCAATTATATTTCGTTTGACATGAGTCAAGAGAAATTGTCAGCTCGTACTTGAAGAGAACCAATCGGGAATAGCGTGGGCTATCCACAGTGTGTCACCTGACCCGTGAGGAAGTTCACTGACACTAATACCAGTGTTCAATCATACATGAAATTATAGGATATGTGATACCAATGTGATATATCGCCCCAGGATACAAATAGCTGGATTGCCATAATTATGATGTTATTGTTAGCGAGAGAAGCCTGTTTTAATCACTGCTAGGTCATTGTGTCTTATTCTGTGAATAGCCAAGGGTTCCCAGAGTGGCGGGAACTGTCCCCGCTACGTGTTTTTTTTTGGGGGGGGACAGGGCCTTTTTCCTCGCACAGAAGCTGATTCTGTATGTAGTGGTAGCCCAATATCTTTATAGACGAATGGGCACTTTTTGGGTGATGTAGCGGAGAAACATTATGTATGTGTTATGGGGTCTATTCCGTCTGTATGTGTTATTGGGGTTGATACATCCTGTATGTTATATGTGGTCTGTTACGTCTGTATGTGTTATGTGTTACATTCCGTCTGTATGTGTTATGTGGTACATTCCGTCTGTATGTGTTATGTGGTACATTCCGTCTGTATGTGTTATGTGGTACATTCCGTCTGTATGTGTTATGTGGTACATTCCGTCTGTATGTGTTATGTGGTACATTCCGTCTGTATGTGTTATGTGGTACATTCCGTCTGTATGTGTTATGTGGTACATTCCTTCTGTATGTGTTATGTGGTACATTCCTTCTGTATGTGTTATGTGGTACATTCCTTCTGTATGTGTTATGTGGTACATTCCGTCTGTATGTGTTATGTGGTACATTCCTTCTGTATGTGTTATGTGGTACATTCCTTCTGTATGTGTTATGTGGTACATTCCGTCTGTATGTGTTATGTGGTACATTCCTTCTGTATGTGTTATGGGATCTATTCCGTCTGTATGTGTTATGTGGTACATTCCTTCTGTATGTGTTATGTGGTACATTCCTTCTGTATGTGTTATGTGGTACATCCAAAATTCTGTATATGTGTTACTTCGGGGGGGGGGGTGGTACATTCCTTCTGTATGTGTTATGTGGTACATTCCGTCTGTATGTGTTATGTGGGTACATTCCGTTAGTATGTGTTATGTGGTACATTCCGTCTGTATGTGTTATGTGGTCACATTCATGTCTGTATGTGTTATGTGGTACATTCCGTCTGTATGTGTTATGGTGCATCTATTGGTCCGTGTTGTATGTTTATGTTGGTACATTCCGTCTGTATGTGTTATGGGGTACATTCCGTCTGTATGTGTTTATGTGGTACATTACGTATGTATGTGTTATGTGGTACATGTCCGTCTGTATGTTAGTTATGTGGTACATTCCTTCTGTATGTGTTATGTGGTACATTCCTTCTGTATGCGGTGTTATGTGGCACATTCCTTCTGTATGTGTTATGTGGTACCTTCCGTCTGGTATGTGTTTAGTGTGGTACATTCCTTCTGTATGTGTTATGTGGTACATTCCTTCTGTAGTGTTATGTGGTACATTCCGTCTGTATGTGTTATGTGGTACATTCCGTCTGTATGTGTTATGGGGTCTATTCCGTCTGTATGTGTTTGTGGTACCATTCCGTCTGTATGTGTTATGTGATCTATTCCGTCTGTATGTGTTATGTGGTACATTCCGTCTGTATGTGTTATGTGGTACATTCCGTCTGTATGTGTTATGTGGTACATTCCGTCTGTATGTGTTATGGGATCTATTCCGTCTGTATGTGTTATGTGGTACATTCCTCTGTATGTGTTATGGTGTTTATGTGTAGGTGCCATAAAAAATGGGTACATTCCTTCTGTATGTGTTATGTGGTACATTCCGTCTGTGCATGTGTTATGTGGTACATTCCTTCTGTATGTGTTATGGGTACATTCCGTCCGTATGTCGTGATGTGGTAACATTCCGTCTGTATGTGTTATGTGGTATATCATTCCTTAATGGTGTAGTGTACATGGTGCATGGTGTCTGGTCTAAGTATATAATCTTTGTAATCTTGCAGCTTCTTCAAGATGATCTTTTGCAAACATTTTTGTGCCAGCCAAAATTAGGAGTAAACAAACAGACAAGGGGGGGGGGGGGGGGGAGGGTGTCACATGGTGTATGGTGCATGTTGTATGGTGCATGTTGTATGGTGCATGGTGTATGTCTATGGGGCATGGTGTATGGTATATGGTATATGGTGCATGGTGTGTGGTATATGGTGCATGGTATTTGGTGCATGGTGTATGGTATATGGTATATGGTGCATGGTGTATGGTGCATGTTGTATGGTGTATGTTGTATGGTGCATAGTGTATGGTGCATGGTGTATGGTGCATGGTGCATGGTGTACGGTGTATGGTGCATGGTGTATGATGCACGGTGTATGGTGCATGGTGTATGGTGCATAGATGGTGTATGGTGTATAGTGTATGGTGTATAGTGTATGGTGCATGGTACATAGTGTATGGTGCACGGTGTATGGTGTATGGTGTATAGTGTATGGTGCATGGTGCATAGTGTATGGTGCATTGTGTATGGTGTATGGTGTATAGTGTATGGTGCATGGTGCATAGTGTATGGTGCATGGTGCATAGTGTATGGTGCACGGTGTATGGTGCATAGTGTATGGTGCACGCTGTATGGTGCATAGTGTATGGTGCATAGTGTATGGTGCACGGTGTATGGTGCATAGTGTATGGTGCACGGTGTATGGTGCATGGTGCATAGTGTATGGTGCACGGTGTATGGTGCATAGTGTATGGTGCACGGTGTATGGTGCATGGTGCATAGTGTATGGTGCACGGTGTATGGTGCATGGTGTATGGTGTATGGTGCATGTTGTATGGTGTATGGTGTATAGCGTATGGTGTATGGTGTATGGTGCATAGTGTATGGTGCATGTTGTATGGCGTATGGTGCATAGTGTATGGTGCATGTTGTATGGTGCATGATGTATGTCTATGGGGCATGGTGTATGGTATATGGTGCATGGTGTGTGGTATATGGTGCATGGTGTATGGTATATAGTATATGGTGCATGGTGTATGATATATGGTATATGGTGCATGGTGTATGGTATATGGTATATGGTGCATGGTGTGTTGTATATGGTGCATGGTGATTGGTATATGGTGCATGGTGTATGGTATATGGTATGTGGTGCATGGTGTATGGTATATGGTGCATGGTGTATGGTATATGGTGCATGGTGTGTGGTATATGGTGCATGGTGTATGGTATATGGTGCATGATGTGTGATATATGGTGCATGGTGTATGGTATATGGTATATGGTGCATGTGTGTGCTATATGGTGCATGGTGTATGGTATATGGTGCATGGTGTGTATGGTGTTTCATGGTATATGGGATATGGTGCATGGCAGTGTATGGCGTTATGGGCGGAACTATGGTGCATGGTGTATGGTTTATGGTGTATGGTGTATGGTATATGGTGCATGGTGTATGGTATATGGTGCATGGTGTATTTGTGTATTGTGCATGGTGTATAGTGCATGATATGTCTTGATCATGGTCTCCACTGTGCAGTTTGTGTGCTATAGACAGTTGGCCTGTAATGCCGATAACACAGACTATCGTCTGGCGAGGTGCTGACGAAGCCACGAGAACAAGAGCTGTACCAAGGGAACCTGCTGCTGATACTCTAAAGAATGAACAAATCATCCAGCCTCCCAACTCGATCCCTCTTCTTCACTGACAATGTGAGAGAAGCTGTGTATCTGGCCAGCTCGGAGTTCTGCGTGGACTATCAACGTGACAGCTTGCAAGATGCGCCACAGACTAGGAATGGATCCACTGGGGACGAAATCTTGAGACTTCATATTTCTACTCACCCCCGCCCCCACTTAAGTGTTCACCTCTGGTCGCAACGTTGGGACATCTTTGGGCGCGTCTTTTCCTATCCATGGTTTGAGCTGTCCAGTGATAGCTGAGCTACTCGAAGAAGAGGTGTGATAGTGGTGAAAACAGAGCTAGGAACACCACAGCGGTAGCCCGCCAGTCAGCTACACCTAGAAATGACACTTGTAATTACTAGTCAGTCAGGTGCCACAGCTGGGGCTGATATTTGATCCATCTCAGACTGGAGTGAACTTTCCCTCGATGAACCACATAAATAACCCGGATCTAAGCTGCATATTTAAGTCACTGAGTCAAGTTAAGAAAGGATAGGTATGTCTACTGTTCCACTAAAATCTGTCGGATTCTATTTGCACACAGCCCAGCCCTGCCCGCTGCACGGATTGGTGCCGGTAATGACACTACTGTTAGCTGTGGATTGTGTTGACGTTTTCGTTGGGGAACTGTTTCTTTGACAGCAAGGGAGGGAGAGGAGCATGTTGACGTTTTCTGTTGGGGAACTGTTTCTTTGACAGCAAGGGAGGGAGGGGAGCATGCAGCATGTTGACGTTTTCTGTTGGGGAACTGTTTCTTTGACAGCAAGGGAGGGAGAGGAGCATGTTGACGTTTTCTGTTGGGGAACTGTTTCTTTGACAGCAAGGGAGGGAGAGGAGCATGTTGACGTTTTCTGTTGGGGAACTGTTTCTTTGACAGCAAGGGAGGGAGAGGAGCATGTTGACGTTTTCTGTTGGGGAACTGTTTCTTTGACAGCAAGGGAGGGAGGGGAGCATGCAGCATGTTGGCAGCGAGTGGATGCGAGTCTATGTTTCTAGGACATGTTGAAATATGTCAGCAGTGGAACTGATACATTATTTGTGGAAACGTTTTATATGTATAGTGTGTGTGAGTATCATGAGTATAGTGTGTGTGAGTATCATCAGTATAGTGTGTGTGAGTATAATCAGTATAGTGTGTGTGTGTGAGTATCATGAGTATAGTGTGCGAGGGTGTGTGTGTGAGTATCATGAGTATAGTGTGCGAGGGTGTGTGTGTGTGTATGAGTGTGTGTCTGAGTGGATGAAAAAAGAAAGGGAGCTTTCAGGGAGCGCGTGTGTTAGAAATAAAATGTTTACCAAAGAGAGAGAGAGAGAGAGAGAGAGAGAGAGAGAGAGAGAGAGAGAGACAGAGAGAGAGACAGAGAGAGAGAGAGAGAGAGAGAGAGAGAGAGAGAGAGAGAGAGAGAGAGAGAGAGAGAGAGAGGTTTACGTTTAAACACCAGATCAACATCATGGTACAAAGGGTAGTAACCAATAAGCACTCCGTTCTACTTCTGACTCTAGCCTGAGTCCGAAGAATCTCTGTTCGGTGCACAAACTCCATAGCTCAGGCGAGGATCCTGAAATACTTTGGGTAGATTTCTAACTCGAGTTCTGCCCGGACAGTGCCCTTAGCTACTCTTTTCGATTCCAAGTGCAACATGGGGGTACTGTCTTATTACCCAGAGTAAGTTGTATATACTTTACAGGACGTTGTCAAACAAATTCCAGCATGTCTTGCCTGTTATGGTTTTTCTAGGCACATTTACGTCAAGTAGTTTGCCATTGCTTTCTTATCGATACCACTGTCGAAACCAACGTAAGGCGCAAGGCTCGCAGCCGGAATCAAACCCGGCACTAGACATTAGGAATCTCGTTCCCAGCCCCCAAGCTATAGTCGCCTAAACTACACAAAGACCAAGGAAATTACTAGAAGTCTACGTGAAACACATCCAAGCCTTCACTGGGGCTTGAACCCAAGACCTCCAGCACTCGAGGCGGATGCCATGCCTGGGGACAACACAACCCACTTGAGCGTGACAAAATAAGAAAGAACGTGGGAAAGAGAATGTGTGCGGATGTTTGTATATGTATGCGACTGTGAACAATAGACCAAACGATATTTATAAGACAATGTCCTTAATAATAATATAATATAACACTGATGATATGCGAACTATGTGAACAATGATAGCGGAACCAGCTGTAACCGAGACGCCATCACAGAACATCGCAAGGTCATCGGACCAAGGGCTAGGAATGGCGCACTGAGATACAACCAAACGTTTTCACCACTCTTTATCGTGAAATAAAATATGCAGAAACGTGATAACATTAACACGGACACCGCGATGAAAGAAACGTTATTGATAAATATAAAAGACGCTTTATAAACTATACATAAATAAAGGAACAGCTTGGACACAGAAAAAACACAAACACTTTTAAAATAACACAATCCTGCGATTTGAGCATTACTGGATTTATAACTCAAGCAGTGCATTAACGCACGTGGAAAGACTGGATTTATAACTCAAGCAGTGCATTAACGCATGTGGAAAGAATTGATTTATAACTCAAGCAGTGCATTAACGCATGTGGAAAGACTTGATTTATAACCCAAGCAGTGCCTTAACGCATGTGGAAAGAATTGATTTATAACTCAAGCAGTGCATTAACGCATGTGGAAAGAATTGATTTATAACTCAAGCAGTGCATTAACGCATGTGGAAAGACTGGATTTATAACTCAAGCAGTGCATTAACCCACGTGGAAAGACTTGATTTATAACTCAAGCAGTGCATTAACGCATGTGGAAAGACTGGATTTATAACTCAAGCAGTGCATTAACGCATGTGGAAAGACTGGATTTATAACTCAAGCAGTGCATTAACGCATGTGGAAAGACTGGATTTATAACTCAAGCAGTGCATTAACGCATGTGGAAAGACTGGATTTATAATCCAAGCAGTGCATTAACGCATGTGGAAAGACTGGATTTATAACTCAAGCAGTGCATTAACGCACGTGGAAAGACTGGATTTATAACCCAAGCAGTGCATTAACGCATGTGGAAAGACTGGATTTATAACCCAAGCAGTGCATTAACGCATGTGGAAAGACTGAATTTATAACTCAAGCAGTGCATTAACGCATGTGGAAAGACTGGATTTATAACTCAAGCAGTGCATTAACGCATGTGGAAAGATGCATGGCTGGACAAAGCAGATATCGTCAACGTTGTACGGACTGAGCTAGTGGATATTGACGATCTCTGGCACTAACACGATTGGGTGGCATAGGCGTAAAGCATGGTGAAGTAAGTCTAGGCTGCCTTCGAGCTCGAGATAGGAGATATAACAAACTACTCACGGGAACAGTCAATAGAAGTACCTTGCAGTGGCTGCTGCATCGGAGGACTACGCACGCATGGGAATATCCAATGTGCTGTGACGTCGATTGTGATAACATAACATAAAATTATAACTCGTAAACCAATGGTAAGGGTATGCTAGAAGGAAAGATGGGTGATGTGGTCACCCAAGCAAGAATTAGTGACAGTGACAGAAATAAGCAAACAACTTAATGTGTGAATCCTGAGTATGTACCTTATCCCAGTGCCAACAAACGGATATGAGCCATGCGCTATCTCGAAATCTTTCCCCCTCAAAAGTGACCACAGACAACTGGTCATGCAGCTCGCTGTTGTTTGCTGATGTTCTCACCCCATAGGTCCCTGATTTGATGGCCTCACCTGTCAGTATCGGATTGACTAGATCGTTGGGACTGCGCCAGCTGTTGTTGGTAGTTTGTGCGCCTTTACGATGATATCGATCACAACATCTCAACAACCTTGTAAACAATAGACTGATTGTTGTCAACAAGGTTCTGTCTATGTATTCATAGTGCGTAAATCTATTCAGAACTTCTGCGGCAAATATTCCAGCACTGTCACAGTTTGTTGAGTATGTAGATACGTTCTTTTGTCAGTTGTAGTACTGTACAATAATGCTTGTCAGCATCTGAAAGCTATTTCTTCGTCTTCTTTTCTCTTTTGTCGTCTTACTGATACCATGTTAGCCCAGTGTCGTGGTTTTGTCATCTTACTGATATCGGTTGTAGCCCAGTGTCGTGGTTTTGTCGTCTTACTGATACCAGGTTGTAGCCCAGTGTCGTGGTTTTGTCATCTTACTGATACCAGGTTGTAGCCCAGTGTCGTGGTTTTGTCGTCTTACTGATACCAGGTTGTAGCCCAGTGTCGTGGTTTTGTCGTCTTATTGATAGCAGGTTGTAGCCCAGTGTCGTGGTTTTGTCGTCTTATTGATACCAGGTTGTAGCCCAGTGTCGTGGTTTTGTCGTCTTACTGATACCAGGTTGTAGCCCAGTGTCGTGGTTTTGTCGTCGTATTGATAGCAGGTTGTAGCCCAGTGTCGTGGTTTTGTCGTCTTATTGATACCAGGTTGTAGCCCAGTGTCGTGGTTTTGTCGTCTTATTGATAGCAGGTTGTAGCCCAGTGTCGTGGTTTTGTCGTCTTATTGATACCAGGTTGTAGCCCAGTGTCGTGGTTTTGTCGTCTTACTGATACCAGGTTGTAGCCCAGTGTCGTGGTTTTGTCGTCTTACTGATACCAGGTTGTAGCCCAGTGTCGTGGTTTTGTCGTCTTACTGATACCAGGTTGTAGCCCAGTGTCGTGGTTTTGTCGTCTTACTGATACCAGGTTGTAGCCCAGTGTCGTGGTTTTGTCGTCTTACTGATACCAGGTTGTAGCCCAGTGTCGTGGTTTTGTCGTCTCACTGATACCAGGTTGTAGCCCAGTGTCGTGGTTTTGTCGTCTTACTGATACCAGGTTGTGCGCCCCAGTGTCGTGGTTTTGTCGTCTTACTGATACCAGGTTGTAGCCCAGTGTCGTGGTTTTGTCGTCTTACTGATACCAGGTTGTAGCCCAGTGTCGTGGTTTTGTCGTCTTATTGATAGCAGGTTGTAGCCCAGTGTCGTGGTTTTGTCGTCTTACTGATACCAGGTTGTAGCCCAGTGTCGTGGTTTTGTCGTCTTACTGATACCAGGTTGTAGCCCAGTGTCGTGGTTTTGTCGTCTTATTGATAGCAGGTTGTAGCCCAGTGTCGTGGTTTTTGTCGTCTTACTGATACCAGGTTGTAGCCCAGTGTCGTGGTTGATAACATGTCGTCTTACTGATACCCAGGTTGTAGCCCAGTGTCGTGGTTTTGTCGTCTTATGCTGATAGCAAAGTTGTAGCCCCAGTGTCGTGGTTTTGTCGTCTTACTGATACCAGGTTAATAGCCCAAGTGTCGTGGTTTTGTCGTCTTACTGATACCAGGTTGTAGCCCAGTGTCGTGGTTTTTTCCCCCCGTCTTACTGATACCAGGTTGTAGCCCAGTGTCGTGGTTTTTGTCGTCTTATTGATAGCAGGTTGTAGCCCAGTGTCGTGGTTTTGTCGTCTTACTGATACCAGGTTGTAGCCCAGTGTCGTGGTTTTGTCGTCTTTACTGATACCAGTTTGTACATGTCAACAGTGTCGTGGTTTTGTCGTCTTATTGATAGCAGGTTGTAGCCCAGTGTCGTGGTTTTGTCGTCTTCTG